ATTTTAAAATACCTTATGTGAGGGGTCTAAGTGAACATCTTAAGAAGAAACTTAATACACAGAATTCTGAAGTAGCCATGTATAACAACAAAACGGTAAAAGATCTTTTTTCACAGGTTAATCAACCAACCCCAAAAGATATTACCAGCAATATAATTTATAGAATACCGTGCAACAACTGCAATGTATGTTACGTGGGTCAAACAAAGCAATATCTAAAAACCTAATGTCAGAACACAAAAGGGACTGTAATGTTACAAAGTCGAACAATCCAAAAACAGGACTATCTAAACACCACTTCGACACCGGACACGTATTAGTCTTAAGTCTTTTGTCTTAATTTTTTAATTTAAATTTTATATTTTTACAAACTGTATAACGTTCTTTGTGTGTTTTAGCCTTGAGAATGATGCGGAGGGCATCGAAAGTCGGCTTTTGATTTAAAAATTTGAAAATAAAGTCCAAATAAGCTGAAAACTGCCTGGCCTTTTATTTATCATTTTAAATAATTTTTCACAACGAATTGCCACAGCTACAGTAATGTTCTTTTCGTTTACAAACTGTGCCTTTTCAGCATCAGAAAACAATGACAGACCCTTGTCTAAAGCTTTTCCTTGGGAAAATAAATTTACTTTCAGATCAGTATCAAAAAGAACACCATACAGAAAGAAAACTTGAACCATTGAAAGCTAAAATACAGATGTTACCTCGTCCTTCAACCTTCAACGTTGCATCACAATCACCAATTTTTACATACTTTGGCACTTCAACATTCACGCAACTACCAAAAAGATTCCTGTCTTTGCAAATGTGCTGGGAGGCTCCACTATCCATATACAATTCCATATTCACTTGGGACTGGATGTTACTTGAAACTGCTAATAGTGCAAACTTTTCTCTATATTACCACTGGCATGACTTTCCCGAGATATATCTAGGTTTTCTTTCCTTTTCTTTGCGAAACAATCTTTCATCATATGTCCTTTTCTTTTGCAATAACTGCATTCGATATTCCGGCACTGACTTTTTAGGCGATCCACCCTACCACAAACAAAACATTTTCGGTTTCGGTTTACATTTTGCTTTAACGTTTGGCCCACTGTTGCCGCGCGGTGAAATGTCATCGGTGTCACGGATTGTTCCTCATGTCTTGTCAGCCGCTTCTCTTCAATTAAAAAACGAACTGTCAAATTATTCAGTGTTTGATTTTTCGAGCTGACACTCTCCCACGCGGACCGGAAATAACGAAACTTGTCAAGAAGCGCCATTATGATTATCGGGATCATTGTTGCAGGAATATTTTCACCACATTGTTTCAGCTTTGCTTGCAAATTTGTTACTTCGGAAATGAAACTATTTACCGTTTCATTTTGGAAATTAAGGTTATAAAATTGCTCATTTATCATGTGAACACTAACCTCTTATTTTCTCTCGAAGATGCTCTCCAATTTTCACACTGCATTACATGGGATATAATGTCTTCTTCGGGCATCTTGTATTTTCCATTTAGCAGCTTTCGCTGCATCTCCTTCAGGTATGAAATCATTACCAGAGGTAATTTCGACGAGCCCCTTCACCATCAACACTAGCTTAGCTTGAAATTTCCATACATTCCATTTCGAATTGTTTAATTTGCTAGCGATCAACTGCATTTTTCTTTTTCACTATGACATTCTACGAAAAACCTCAAAACCTCAAATTACTACCATAATATTAGACATGCTGGGCCCATAACCTGTGGAGAAAGTTGGTGGTAGTAATTAAACATTTTATAATTTTTTTGAATTAAATTCACGATAATATTTATCTCTACCGAGAATCATGCACACACAGTTTTCTTACCATTTATCACAACCCCATTTATGGTTAATGCTTAAGTGATTAGCACATCTGTATAATACCCCCTCCAAACTACGGTTAACTGTCCCAATCACACAGTCCGTTTCCCCGTATCATCAGCAAACAGGTGCAGTGTACATGGCCAAGCTGCCTCAGCTATATCATTTATGTAAATCAAAAATAACAGAGGTCCAAGCACACTACCCTGAGGCACACCCAGATCATAAACCAGAGGATAAGAAATCACACCTTCACTCTCTGTCTTCTATTCTCCAGCTACTCAACCAATCAAACGCCCTTCCGTTAATCCTATATTTAAATCAATAACACTGAAATCACGACAAAACTAAAACTACTACTACACTTTGAATTACTTGAATTGAGCTCAGCAAAATTTTATGACTATAACTGATTGCCTTACTGTCCAATTCGAATTTTTTTTTTTTTCGATGTCGTAAGTCGCTTATATGCCGTTTTAGGCCCCAATTATCACGAAAAAAACTTTGCTAGAAGTCTCTGGTATCGCCGATGGATAATTCGCCGGCTATATCATTCCTTCAAGGCCAAACTATCGGATATTCCAGTCACCAGTCCTACAGGGGTCGATCAATAAATACGCCATAGGTGTTGAAAGGCTATCTGTGTTATTTTATAACACTGCCTCATTTCTTTAGAGCTGTTCGCTCCAAACAGCTGAGAAGCTGGGCGCATCCAAATCGGTATATTTTTCTTTTGGTATGGGGCCAGCCTTTCTACGTAAACGACCTTTGGCGTGGCTTTCGGCGAGAAAGTTGAATAAGGTACTCCAAATCGTTGCTCTTGACGATCTTTTTTGGCGTTTTCTACAGTCATTGTAGTTTCAGGTTTAGTCCCTTCCTTCGCTGTGGCAACCACTTGAAGTTGTTTAAAAGCCGTTTGTCGAGTCTCATCTTCATTCTGTTGTTCATCAGTCGTAGTCTATAAACCACTGTGAGTCATTCTGGCTCGTGGCACAATTGTCTGATATCATTATGCTTGTCCCATCTGAACTCCCATATACGAATGATTGTCATATCGCAGGCACAACAAATGCCATTCAAGACAGTACTTCTCCATATTTTGACCATCGTGGCTCAAAGCGTTCAGTTTGAGAAGCTATTTTTGTTTTTGAGAAATTCTTGGGTTTGATTGAAAGCGCCATTTTGGACACATAAGTCATATTATGTACTTTTTTCCCTTCGTTTAAAAAAAAACTGACTGGATACTGTCTATTAAAGATTGACGGTATCAAAGTGACCATCGTGATATCAAATATCAGCGAGGAAAAAAAACAGTTAAAGATTTGAATATGGAGATGCAAATAATTGGGAGAACAACAAATGAAAGAAATAATTTAATTTTTAAAGGAAGTGGTGAACCAATATAGGTAGTGTGGAAAGTTAACAAAATTATAATTATGCGTGCAAAGGAAAAAAACGGGGTGAGAGTTTACGAATAGTTGAGACCAGAAGGGAGTGGAGGAAATAGAAGAAATAAATGACAAAGAAATAATCACCTAAGAAAGAACAATGAAAGAATGACAAGGCGAATTCGGAATACCAAGGAGTGTACAGAAACAGAAGTTCACACATTTATACTAAAACAAATAACGGAAAAGTCGAAAGAATGAGGAAAAGAAGTGATAATAATCTTAGAAAAAAATTTGACAGGCTCCTGAATTAAAAACTGTGAAAATATTCAGAGAAAACAGAGCGGAAGAAAACACGTTAAATATCATTAAGCAAAATCATAGAAAAAGAGCAACTTTTTACATATAAGTGGAAACAACAAATCGAGAAGAATCAGCATAGCAGATAAAGCAGCAAAACAAGGAATGATTATTTCTGTATAGGATTTGACAGTTTCTGTGGTAAATTTTAAGGTAAACGCATTTTGACTAATCGCTCGTCTATTTGTTGTATACACAAGTAAAGCTGTAAATAGCTTAGTATGAATTTTATTAATTAGAGTTCCTAGAATAAGCTTTTTTGCGCTCTTGGACCACTTTTTAGGATAAATGCCCTGTAGCTCTCCCGCATACAGAATTTCTAATGTTGGTTGGAGATGAAAATCCTCTATCCGTAAGAAACTGGTATTATTGTTCCCCAGCATGTAAATTTTAGAACCTTTCCAGGACGATGTATCATCCTAGAGGTACCACATTCATTTGTATAATGTACCCATTTACTAAAAATAGGAATTATTGATGTCAAAACTTTCTGCGGAAAGAGGTCAAAAACCTAAATAACAAATAATACTAAACCCATTCTTGATTATAAATACAAAACAAACAAGCAACTTTTAGTCAGGGTGAGATATCTCCTGAAAATACAATGACATTGACCATTGACCATGTAGGCCCCTAAGCAAGATTGAACACAACACAACCACAAATATTTTATGCCAGCCAGGGAAGATGCAGAATGCAAATTTAGCAAGTTTTATGCAAATAAATATCCTTTTTCACGTGACAAAGCCATTAGTCTCAAGTGGAACTTTTTGGGTTTTTTTAAAGGGTAATATTCTGTTAAATCCAAATGACTTTGAAAGGTCTTCACAGATATTATTGAAATGAATGTTATCTTGTTTATTGTTCTTGCCCAGGAAACATTTTTACAGGTAATTGGCTGTGTACAATGCAATTTTTGTGAGGTTAGGTACATGTGAGTCCTTTACACAATTTTTTTTTTGATTAACTGTTTCCAAATATTATAATATAATAAGTGCGATATAAACAGCTCAAAATGTGTATTTCGTAGTTCCCACCCAGCAGCAGGTGGTATTTTGATAGATTACTCATCAATAATTATTGAATTCGACAATTAAAAGCTCATACTCAAACCAGTTCGCTTTGAAATTGAAATGTCTAAGATTTAATTTAATTGAGGCAAGGTTGGATAGATCGATAGTTCCTGTTTTTATTATTTATTAAAAAGCAATGAATTACATACATTTATTAAGGGCTGGAATTGGTTTTCGTTTAAATATGAAAATCGATTGGCCTTAATTAAGATTATTATTTACGATTTTAATTTCCTCAATAATGTGTCCATACATATCGAATGCAACAATTATTGTCAATTAAAATCTATTATTGACTATTAAAAAGGAATTAATTGTAAAATGTATAATAATTGTTCCAGGTTCACAAACATATGACCTTAGACGAGATTAGAAGCACCTTTCATGTAGATAGTCATCATTTGGGTAAGTACGTAGGGCTCGGTTGAAAACGAATCACCCTCAGTAGATAATTAATTGGCAATTATTATCACTGCCAAAGTTTTCACTGCTCGAATCCTTTTGGCGGAAAAAAATTACCTACTTTTTATCAAAGCAAAACCCGAAAACTAAATCAACAAGGATTTTTCACGAAGGTTGATTTCCGGACGAATAGAAACTTTCTTTTTGTCAAGGACATACAGTAATGATGACGACTTCAAATTCGCGGTTATAATCAGGGTAAAAAGTCTTTCGCCATAAAATGCCACTCGAGCAAGTTGAAAAAGTGTCTGTCTATTTATTAATTAGAGATTCTAGAAATTTGAAACCCCTAGCCGCAGTAGGAGGCTCAAGTATCCCAGAAAAAAAATATATTTCTCAAAAATTATGTGGCAAATTATAACAATGATTTAAATTCCTTCACCGTTCTTAGTATTAGGAATCTTTTAATTGCTATTATTTTCTTTGAATTTGGTTTAATTCCATGAGGCTGTTTTTGTTGATTGAGATTTGAATTACAAATTGAACATGGAAGCAAATAAACATGCAATTTTTCAGCTTTTAAAACAATAAAATACATAGATCTAGATCTAGATTTATGAATATTGCCCAACCAATTTCGAACTGGACTTTTGTAATGAATCAAGTTGGACAATTTACGAATCGTGGCACGGAAATGAAGTATAAGGTATTACGTATACCTTAATATCGATTAATTTACTGCTTTATGTAAAATTAATTTGGAAAGTTTGTCAGAAATAGTTAGGTGAAAATCGATTGTTTAAATTAGCAATTGGTCGAATAAATAATATTAACTGCGGATCTTACCAGAGCTAAGAAACTCGTAATAGACTCATACCTGTCCAATAGCTCATAATCAATCGGGGGCCTTGCAAAATAAATCGGGAAACATTTCACATATTCTACTTTGCTTTGCCACCTCTACATATATTGTTACGAAATTGCAACAACCCGGCCAGGATTCTATGAATTGAGTTGTTTAGGTCTAGCGCAACTATTCGGGGAATCCTTTTCGAGTAGGTCGCCGGGGTTTTCTAGATAAATCCCGAGTACTATGTCGACTATGAAGTACTGTTACTGCAATGCAAAAATCGCATCTGTTTGCCGGGATGGTAACACTCGATTTGAATGGCAGGGTCGATGCCGGCCGGAAGTTGTCATTAGCGTCAGGGAGCAACCCTGAAAAAAAAATATTAATATGGTCAGCCAATCTCATTTTTTGTTACGTCTAGAGTTCACATAGTGAGATTCTCAAACATATCGAAGAGAGATGAGCCATATAGTTTCAGGGGAGCGCACAACCGATGTCCTTTACAATATGTTACTTAAATCACGAAGGCCTTCAACCATGGTTGCCACAAATCTGGATTTAGGAACCCTCGTCTTTTCCCCAGACTCTGTTATCTGTAGATCAATATCAAGTTTTCCTAAAGTTTTAACTCTCCAGGTAGTTTCTGATGAACTATCTTCAGAAGTTAATGACAGCGATCCTCAAGGATCTGCCACCTATCCTATCTTTTGGCTTCACATATAAAATCCACTCTCACTACAGTATTGTTATATTTAAATATTTTCTTTTGCCTCCCTCTGCCTTTACTAAAAAAAGAAATATGCACTTTCAAGTTCTGTTGTCATAAAATGTATAGGTAGGTACCCAAAATGGGAAATTATTCAACCATTACAAACATTTTACGAAAGCAGCACACGATTATTAGAATAATAGAAATTTTCCCCACTGCATTTGCTCCAAAGTGAGTAAGCTGTCCTGTCCTGCTTACTCTGGTTCAATTTTTTATAATTACAAAAAATATACTTTTGCTCTGATTGATGGTTGATCTAAGTATACAGGGTGACCCAGTAAAGTGGGTCCAAAAATCATAAAACAAGCCTTTTAATAATCGATGTAAGCGCACCCTGCAAGCTACTTATCGGGATTTTTGTTTTCGATTTCGCAAACAAATAGTCTAGATAAGCCTAATATACTATACAGGGTGGCTAAGCTTGCGTATTCTTTCAGAAATCCTCCCCTATTCTAAGAAATAGTGTTACCAAAAAGGACACACTGGATTTTATTTGCTCGTAACTTCTTTAATGAGCAGTGCTACAAGTTATAGTGGGAAAATGGTAAAATACAACCTAAATACACTAAAATATTTTCACTTCATAAATCGTGATTACCTACTGCCCATTTGCACTGACTTTAATACACCTAAGGAACGTATTTGATGGGTACTTCACATTGTTTCCATGTAGAGCGTAGCCCAAGAACCAAACAACTCTAGAAATGTGGGAGCACATGCCCAAAGTTCTAGCACCAACTTATTCATTATTATACAGGGTGTCCCAGCCGAGAGAGGCCCATTCTACATGCTGATAACTGCGCCATTCGACTTCTCTTGGCCTAAATTTTTTTTTAGTTGGTTGCAAATTTTTTCAAATACCTATTCAGAGCCAGTATAAAAAAAAAAACGTTTTTCAACATCGAAATTCTCCACTATTTTTAATGGAACACCCTGTATATCACAACGTCAAAAAAAAGAGTCACGTTATTATACCTATCACACGCTAAATATATGTATCTCATATCACACCGATTTTTAGGAATTGTGACAACTGATGAACTCAACATTTCCCTTTTGGGTCTTGTTAATTTCAAACTGGGTTTAATGTTCGTAAGAATCCACGATCGAATAAAACGGTATACTTTTATCACTTTCCGCCATCTCGAATTTTATCACATTTGTAATTTTTCAGATTTCATGACATCCTTGTGATATAGGCTTTATTTTAAGACCACATTTTATTAAATCGAACAAAAATTGAAAAAGTTACGGAGATAGAATCCAGCGCGACCTTTTTGGTAACACTATTTCTAAGAAATTGGGCAGGATTTCTAAAAGAATACGCAAGCTTAGCCACCCTGTATAGTATATTAGGCTTATCTAGACAATTTACTTGCGAAATCGAAAACAAAACTCCCGATATGTAGCTTGCAGTGCGCGCCAACATCGCGAAAAAAAGGGTTGTTTTAGGATTTTCAGACCCACTTTACTGGGTCACCCTGTATAGTTAGAGATTTGATGCAATGATGAAAAATTCTTATTTTTGCTAGTACTACAACATACCAATTTTTTAAAAAAATCGACCGTCGTTTGGCATAAATATTTTTTGATCGATTATCTACAATCCGAATACTATAGTTTTCCAATTTGTTGCATTTTTCTCAAAATGAAAAAAAGAGTCGCGTGCAGCACAGTACACGTGATAGAAATGAATACTTATTTATCGATCTTTTTCTTACTCTCTCCCTCATATTCATCATATGCTTCATCTGACTTGCTAGACGAAAATTTAATAAATCGTGTCGTGACGCGACCTTGAAAAATCTCTCTCATGCGGCCAAAGAAGTATTCACTTCAATAATTTATCTGTATATCTGGTTGCCTATTTTCACGGGTTTAAGAAATAATGGGGTAACGCAAAAAAAAATCGGAAAAGTAAAATGTTTGGATCGTAGAGAATCGATCAAAGGATGTTTTTTGTCAATTCTGATGTGAGGTTTCTCTCTTTTTGCACAGAACTGACAGATTTGAAACCTGTTCTGTCATTAAAGCCTTCTTAACTTTTTGTACTTTAGGGTTTTTATGAACTCTAACTTTTCATCATCACACGTGATAGTTTTTTGTTAGATTGATCAAAAAAGTCCGTGTATTTATTAGTTCAATTCATGCAAATGTACACTCCGAAAGAACACTTGACTAGAAGAACAAATAATAGAGGTGTTATTCAAAAATAAGAATGCAATGAGGGCGGTCTTCTATACGAGGGCAGCTTTGTGCAGTCGTAGGTGAAGTTATAGTTCGATTAATAAGGCAGTTACCGAGCCAATTACGCACTTATTCAATTCACCTATCTATTTTTACCTGGTATACGTTGCACAACACGCGGTCTTCCTCCCCCCTTTTTACCCCGTGCAAATAAGAAGCACGGATTGCTATACGTAAGTCTAACATAATTTGCCTCGTCTTGCGCAATGAGCGTGTGTTTTTTTATCTAATGAAGTTTTCGTATTATTACCTCTTTGTCTTGTAAAATAGATAGGTCTATTAGGCATATTTGTAGGACAGAGTACAAAAGAACCAAGATGGTTTTAGCTGGAATAAGAAATCAGTTTAGTTTTTTTTTTCTTTTGTGAATAAACCCAAAAATTGGTACTGTCTACACCAACAGCACACAGTGGTATATCACGGAGTTGCTGAGTTTCGCCATTGAAAAATATTAGTGGAATTGCTTTCCACTTAAACCATCCTTATATATTTTGTGGTTGATCCCGCTCATGGGACGATGTTTGACGTGTTGGAACAGGCCTATTGTCAACTGCGTAAACATTCAACCCATATCAGAAAATGTTTATAATTGGAAAACAAAAAAATTGAGAAAAGGCAAAAGTAATAATGGTAGCAAATTACCTGACTCAATTGTAATCTTAGCATACTCGAAAATGGTGATTTTGGCGATTTAAATTTTTATATGTAATCTCATGTCGCGCGCAGATACATAATAATATAATAACTCACAGAACAAAGCGGAGGCTACTCCGAGGAATATCATTGCTCTCAACAGCCGAAAAATTCTAGCCAGGATTTTCTCCAACCGACTTCTTTTCACTTTTGCCAACGCGACGCTCCGCGAAACACAGTATGACTTTAGACCTGATAGAGGTACGGTCGACATGATCTTCAATGCAAAACAAACGCAAGGAAAATCGAAAGAGCAAAACAAACCTCTGGCAGTTATCAAAATATTTGATTCTGATAATCGAGTTCCTCTTAATATAAACTACTGTTTTCTCTTATAGACCTGAGGGTGAGATATTCAAGCTCAGCAGAATACGAGCCAAGACAGGGTATCCACAATAAAACTTTCTGTGGGTTGCTGCTGATGCTGATGTTAAGGCGATCCTG